TGTGCCCCAAAAAAGACTTACAGCCCTTCTGGTGTTCGGCGAAACGCGATTCGGATGAAGCAGCAATCGAAATATTGTCCCAAGAGGTGCACACAACAGCATGCAAAATACAAAATTGACCTTAAAGGAAAAAATAAAGTCTAAATGTGAATCAGTAAAGCTAACGTAATATGAAAAGAAGAACTCGAATCGCGAGATGCTTTTCTGAGGTACGCTGCGGTTGAGCAGTCTTCGCGCACCATGTCACAAGCCTGTCAGGGTACGGATTGAACAAAAATATAAACGTTTAGAACATCAGGGAAACTTGCCTGATCTAGTGGGAAGTTTGTTGCACTAGAAATTCTCTGGAGAAATTCTCCGAGAATCGACATCGTGTAATATCGGAGTGACTTCGCTATACGTTCTGTGCCAAGGCTATCGTATGTTTTATTTTTGTAAAATGATTGAAGTAGTTCCAGGCCTCCGCTCCAACGCCCTTGAATGAACTTCACTTAGTGAGTGGTTCTAGAAACTGCAGTGACATGTGAAACCTACACCTTTTGTTTGCATTTACTTGAATTTCTGTAGTGTCTATTATCTACGTTGGCCCACAACTGTCACGGCAAAAGAAATAACTTCGCCGCAAAAGAAAACGACTCACGGCAAAAGGAAGAACCTTTCGGCTAAAAGAAAAAGACTCACGAATAACCTCAAAGAATAACCTCACGGCAAAAGAAATAATAATGTCCTCACGGCGTAAAAGAGAGCCGTGGGGGCTGGGAGGTTTTTTCTTTCGCCGTGAGTCTTGTTCTTTTTGTTGTGAGGTTGTGAAATGGAATATTACCGGAATTTCACGTTATTTAGTTAACATGACATCCTGTCACGAGAGACTTGCGGAAGATGTAATCAGTACTCGAGACTTTCACGTGCATGGCTCTGTGCATCATAGGTGGGTTAAAGCTCTCACAATAAGCCTCCATAAAATTTAAGTTTCACAGTGGGCGAAATATAAAGACTTTTTCGAAATTGTATATATGGGAATTAATGTTCGCGCCCTCAACCTAAAAATCTGAACTTGTTTTGAACAAAATTTAAACAAATTTACCTCGCCTAAAAGGTTGTTCCTTGGCATCGTGTGATTTTCTCAGCTTGGGCTGATTTAGGCCGGTTAGCTCATTTTCAGTTCATCGATCTTTTTTGCCATCTATATAAGTTTCGGTTGAGGGTGCGTTTGTTCCCATACAAATCCTAATATTTTGTCCGTTTGTCAAGGCAGACATATTTGCATATCTGCAAAGGCTCATTGTGCAAGCTTAAGAAAGATAAAGAAGTTTGCTTAAGTTTATGGTATCTGTGGTGATCTCTAGTATTTTGTGACTGGGTAAACGATGCCATGAAACATTAATATCGAAAGAAAACTCGTTTAGAAAAAAAAGGAAAAAAGAAAAACACACGTTTACATCCCATACTCATGTAAAATATCCCTAACGGGGAATTTCAAACTTCGCCAAATTTTCGGAATATGTTTATCAGTTTAATTCAAATACTGTAGATCATCGATATGCACATTTAACTTAAATATTTACATCTATGTATAATATAAAGCTAGAGTTCTATTCAAAATGTCTGATTTACCTTAGAAAATAAAGATCAGTTCAATTTTCATTTTTAACCAGGGGTCGAAAAGAATCATGGTATCGAGTTATTCCCAAACCAAATATCCTTGAAAGCACTCAGTTAAGGTCTATGACAGTATCTGAGCAACTACACACCAGCCCCTCCCCTAACCTAACATTTTTCCCAACTTGTTATCAGTTGACTGCTGTTGGGTAGGGGAGGGGTAGGTGCGTAGATGATTAGATACTGATATTTGCGTCTCCCTCTAAGCTTGACGTGTGCCGTCTCGGCTAGAAAAGTCATTTCTTCCATTTTGTGTAAACGTAGTTAATTTGAATTCATTTTATATACATATTTCGCTTGGAAACAGTTATTTCTAAAAATCTCCCTGGTCCTAGTTTTGTAGCAAGTTCATTATAAAGTATTGTTATTGGTTAGAGAGCTTATTTTATATGAGCAGATTGGATTAATTTTCGACTGACAGTCTTAATCTTGAAACCCTAACAGTGATCAGCATCCTTTTTCTCTTTACTGTGATACTCCTGAACCGTTCATTAAGGTCATGAGAATAAAGGAAATGATAGCCAACTTAAGAAGCTTTGATTATTCACAAAATTCTCCTTATAAGCCCCAAAGGAAATAGTATGGAGAAAATAGACACTGATGTTAGGGTGTAAAAGATTAACGCCGACAATTTGCCCACACAGCATGGTAACGCCAGTCAAAAGACCAACAAGTACGTGGTGTTATCAGCGGGAGATGAGTTCATTTCTAACGTAACTACTCAGTTAACAACAGTTGTTTTTGACGTCTTCTGTTAAAGGTAAGTTTCGAACTTCGTTGAAAGACAGCTTCTAGCTGATGGTTGAAGAATACATTTTTTTTTTCTCTTTGGCTAGACTTGTCATGCAGTCTTCCAATTTAGTAGTGTTTGACCGTCATATTCGGACCAGATTTTAAAGCTCGCTTTCTTCTTTTAAATGGCGACCCAGAGAAACTGTTATACATCTTCATTTGCAACCTGAGGATGAAAAAAGCTCATTTCACTGGAATTTCGAGAATATCAAAACTCAGGATCACGATCGGAAGAATCGTTAATGATAACGACAATAATAATGATATGGATAACAATGATTATGATACGGTTATGACATTAATGATGATGATGATGATAATTTAATAATGATAATAATAATAATTGGAGAAAATCTCTTTCATTTTTAAATTTCAAATTACATGCTTACTTATTACCTAAACTTATAATGATGATGATGATAATAAGTGTTGATGCGAACGATGGTAATAACGATGATGAAAATGATTAGAAAATCTGTTATGGGAAAGAATTTAGTACATATGTGCCAGAATTATGTAAACAAATATGAGAAAGCAAATGCCGCCGAAAATCTTACCCACAAGTTTTCGGATCACTGGAGGGGAAAACTGGTTCCTTCTTCAATATCTTAGCGATACAATTCCTTAAAGTAAGATAGCAAAAGTTTTTGTAAGCGATTCCATTCTTGCCACAAATTGGGGTGTCAAACAGTCCTTCATCACTTTTAGGACACGGCTGACAACCAGGAGGCGCTGAAACAACAAGGAACAAAAAATTAGATTTGTTACACCGTCTTGTCTTTGAACGCCATCGCAATCTCTGAGTTCGTAAGTGCTTAGTCGCACGTACACCGTTTTTTTGGAATATCACACAACGCCTTTCCCCCCCCGTCCTCTACCCTCGGCCTCGACGCCCGAAAAAATGGGAGAGGATTTGCGTGACATTCAATAAACGGTACCGCGCCCTAGAGGAGAAGAAGAATGATATCTTCAAATTATTATTAATGAGTTGCTCTCGTATATGACTCAAATTTTTAATGTTCGGCCACAGTAATGTGACAGCGCTTTTACTTCGTCATGCTTTGAAAGATTCGTATAAACCGTCTTCTCAGCTGAAAGTGATTGAAGATTGCATTCAGTTTTCGATTTGCATTTTGACAACACCAAATCGCGAACGAAACCATGGGAAACACTTCCGGAATGGAATAAGAATTATCAAACAACTTGTTTCTCGTCTAACAACAGCCCACTGTGCTTGACTTTGTCATCCACGCTCATATTAGTTTACTTATTGTATTTATAATTTTTAATAAGTATGAAACAGCTACAATAACAGAAAAATCATGGAGAAATAAATAACTTAAACCCAGGCCTGCAGGACGTCGACATCATGTTCAGCGGGGTCCCTCCCTTGGAGAAGACGAGAAGAGCTACAATAAAAAATTGTATCTCTAGATTTTTTATCGTCGACTCTGACGCTTTTTTTTTTATTATCTTTTAAAATGCAGTCCGTGAGTCCTAACTTGAGAACAACTTCTTTTTCTTTCAAAGTTAAAGCTTTGAAAAATATTTTACAAACCATTTCTTCTTTCGCCGAACTGGCAAAGTGTAAACCAACGTGAACTGAACTTGACGATTGCGTGAGACTTCTCAGTCAGTTTTAACCGTTAAGGAATTTTTTTGGATGACTCGGTAAGACACAGGTTTTTTTGTTTAACAAGCTAATGGTACCCCCAAGGTATCGACATAATAAATTATTAGAAATCACAGCCATCGTTTTCGACAGACCGTCGACAACATGGGGTGAGCGAACGGCGTAAACCCCAAATAATATTCAAAATCAAACTGAATTTTGCCTTGTAAAAGCTCCTATATTCAAGCAAATTTTTAACGCGATTTTTTCATAACCAAACTAGTACAGGAATGGTCAGAAGCAAATTCAAAATTTGCAGTTTAAAAGAAAAACTAGGCCATTGATTCGAGTCGAAATTTTGAAGTCAGAGTTTAAAATTTGTCCGCTGTTGACAGATTCCCCATTGAGATACAAGCTTATTGATGAAGTCACTTCTCTGTGTCACTTTCTATTTTCTAGAAATTAATGTCTTTTTACGTTTTTTTAGGCCCTGAAAAGCGAAAACAAGAAATGATTACTAACCTTTTTCTCCCCAGAAAGTGTCGTGTCTTACTGTCCAAGTTCCACGTACGACCAGAACGATTATAAGGGCCACAACCCATACAAAGTGTCTTGCTTTTCTCATATCAACTCATTTGTTCCACAGCTGAATGAAAGACGAGTTAAAAAAAGGCAAGAGTGCTTTTTTGAATGAGAAATCGCCCTTAGAACGGAAGATTATTGTTAATTCAGGCTTCGTAATTCCATGCAACTTAAGATAAGCATGCGCGTTTTGAAAGATGATGAATTTTTAAAGAAACGTGTCTCTATTACCAGACTGCCTGCATGTATCGTCAACAGTTTGACAATAACTTGTTTAGGCAACAATGGCAAGATTTACCGATAACAAAACATCTTGCAGACAACAGTTGCCTTACAGATTGAAATGAATCCGTAAACCTAGAAATAATCAGGAACTTGGACAATTCAATAATTTGCTGTTGAGAAAATTGATATCATGTTTTGGTCTGTCCCTTTTCCCTCTCACAATTTCGTTTATGGAAACATGTTCTTGGCCTGCAGAACAGACATAATTTTTTTGCGTTTTTCATTCTATCGGAAGCCAGCGCGAGACGAGTGGGAAGTGCGAGTCCGCGCGAGGGGAGGAGCGCAAAAACGAAAAAAACCGAAAGACGGAAATTTGCTCTCCTCCCCTCGCGCGTAACTTGCACCCGCCTTAAATTTGCCTTCGTTCGCCCAAAAACGTAAAAAAGTTATAACGTAACAAGCAGTCGTTCTTTCCTCACGGTCGGGGCAGGTTTGGGAAAACATCGGATGAAGTGTGAAAACGCAATTTAAGTTTTGACAGATTAATTCAAAACAGTTCTCGCCCTGTGAATATCAGTGTCGCATCATTCGTAGTAGTGAACAAAGACACATGCAGCTTAATAGATATATAGTACGGTGGTACTATAGTCAAGTGACTGCATCAAAGTTACAGGGATAAACAAACGGTTCTTACTCAGGGCACATCAGTTTTGGTGTAGTTAGCGAATTCAAGTTTCAATACAAATCTTGATCAACAAACTGTTTCATAGCAACGTAAATTAACAAGATGATCTGGTTGTAAAACACGCTAATGCTTCTTTTGGAAACACTGTCGGCCGATAATCTTAAGACATCACAGGGAAGGAGAAAAAAAATTCTTGGTCCCAAGCCGGAAATTTTTTGGGTGGAGCTTATGACCAAAACCAGTTATTATTCTCTTCCTGAAACATCACATGAATTAATATTACCCAGTGAACAGTTTACGTGAATATATGACAACATCAAGGGTGTGGTGCTAGGTAGAATATTTGAATTGTCCACCTCCCGGTAGATATCATTATTTATCAGCCCCATAAAGACCGTAGAAAGGCTGCGTGTTGACTCTAGTGTCAAAATGAAATACTCTTACACCTGGCTGGTTTTGCTGCCCATTTTGTTTGGTTTTACAGGTGGGAGACCTGTGTCACCTGGTACGTACAGTCTATTCTCACTTATTCTAAGGTTGTTTCATGGTAGCGAGCTGTTCCTCTGTTCAGTTTAAAATTAATTCTTATTTTTGATTCAGATGTCGTGCCTCTGCTGTACTTTTGTCGAAATTAATTCCTGATTTGAGTTGGGCACTTGAAACAAAGCTGTGTGCTTATATGCTCGCTTGTTTGTTCTTTCTAAACGTAGAAGTTGGAGATGTAAAGCTACGCAAAAAAGCGAGAAAAAAAAACACTAACCTCTTACTAACCGAGCACAGGGGCTGTGCTGAGGAATATTGGCCTGAGGTCAGGCCAAAATTCCCCAGTACCGCCCGAGCAAACGAGGTTAGTAAGTATTTTGTGAAATTGCTCTTGAACATACTTAAATGTTTTAAATTTGCCGTATTTTGCGAACGAAAAGACACGGCTTATGGCCATTTCCGTGGAAAAGGTCCGTATGGCAAAATCTCGGCAAAGGAAGAACCAGTCAGAACGTTCGAATAAATCCTCAATACTACCCTGCCATAAGATAAAAGAAGGTATTATTGTTTGACGTGGAGATAATTGCAGTAATCAGAAGAAATTCACAGATGTGATCCTTGCCCTGAAAACATGTCAAACATTTCAAGCAAATAAAAGACTAAGATAATGGACGAATCGAAAATCAGAAAACACCGAGAGCGGGTAAACAAAAACTTAAAATAAAACCTAAACTTTTAACACCATAACATGAATATTTAAATCCTTCACATTGTTATCCGTACATTTCCCATGGTACTGACAAGGAGAATGTGTTTGGTGATCAAAAGCTCCTTGAATCGGTGATCATTTCGTTTATTCTCCTGGCCTCAGTGTTTAATTAAATTGTCAAACTTTAACTAGAAACCAGTTACTCTTGGCGGATAAAAGGGTAATTTGAAATGCACAAAACGACTAATTTGAATCTGTTCTTTCTTATTTCAGACTGTGGAATTCAGTGTGTCGGTTCTTTACCTCAGTGTAACCTTCCAGGACTATTTGGTTTCCCAAAATGCGCCATGCAGCTTGACAAGTGTAAGTTTAGCAAGCCGCGCCCATTCAGACCAGGGGTGATTTTGCTTGGTGAACCTGAGTGTTATTAAAGAAATTCTTCGATTGGATGTGGAGAGGTATCTGCATATCGAGCACCAGTCAGAGTGAAGAGAGTTATTGCTGCATCATGCTAATGTGTCATGTTAGTGTGTCACGCGAGTGAGTCACGCTTCCTGTCAGTTTAAATCACACCGCCAGGTATCCGTGACTGGAACACGAGCACGGTCTACCAAGTTCCGGGGAGAGCAACATCTAACTTCTGACTGCCGTTTTTTTTGGTCGCCCGTATTAAGGAAGGCTACGAAAATTAAGATTGACCTTTCCTAAACCAGTTTCTTCAACTCCCATGACTGACCAAGACATAATTTCTCCTACAATGTCAATACAAAACCAGGCAGAAAAAGGTTTAGAATAACGAAAAGTATCAGTTAGAAGATATTTAGTTGATCAAGAGATAATACTTTCTCGGTTTGATCCAATACCAAATTCTCTGAGCTACCATCGCAAGAATTATATTGTAAACAGTAAGAATTATTTGCCTCATATGTTGTGTGGCAAACCTAAAAGATGATTGAACTTGGGGCAGAATTCATCGAATAAATTACTACCTCGACCTACATTTTAATTTATGCTTGCAAATTTTATTAATCTCTTTAAAATTTACGGATATTTGACTGAACGATTCAAAAGTTTGATCTTATTTACGGAATTTCAGCATTGGTCTCCATTAAAGCTGTTGTTCGGTCGTGTAAAGAAAGCGTTGCGTTACAATATCTAGTAACAGTTGTGTCAACAAATTCCAACGTTACCTAAGGTTTGCTTTACACAACTTAACGAATCTTCCCAAAAAGCCTTATTATCCCTTTTAAGAAACAATCAGAAACAATCAGAAACTTTCTGATATTTTATATTTCTTCCATTTCTATAGCTTTTTTAAAGCGCACAAACAGTTTGTCAATACGTGCTTGATCCATAGCAACCGTTACGCTGAATGAACATGAGTAAACATTGTGTCACGCCTTGCCTTGTACTTGTCCTAGTTGGATTCGAATCGAGCTATAAAGATAATACTCTGTCGGCTTACGGTCACGGTAAAGGTTAAATGAACACACCCGTCATCATGACAATTCGCCTAAGATCGGTTAGTGATAGGTAAATAATGATAAACCCCAAGCTAACACTTATGCACGCGCCGTCACACCTCGTAATTATTCACGTCATCACTGAAATGCCATTTTGACGAAATAAATCAAGCCGACGTACTGTCCATAATGATTAACAGAGTTTCGATAAACATGTACATGTAAACCGCAATACTCTGAAGGAACACTTCAAAGTCCACTTTGGAGCCTGGACCCGATTTCTGTTTTGTCGTGAAATCAATTTTCTTGAGCATTGTACCTTGAGTCTCGGTGACAAATACGATTATGTTCGGGATCAATAATTTTCTTCTGGAGTTGTCTCGCAGGACGAAGTTTTCGATTGACAAGGTACAGCAAAGCATTCAGAACATGCATGTCCAAGATTATGTTGTTAGGCGAGGTTTCTGCTAGATGTGTATGAAGTCATAGGTCAAATTATTTCTGAAGTGACAAAAAAAAAAAACAAAACAAAGAACTTCCAAGCATTCGCCGATCTAGGGCACGTTAATTTAGGGATACCGTTGATATCGACGATGGCTTAAAACATTAATTGACCTATGCCGTAGTTTAAGGTCACGAAACATTTTGATCCAATATGCCACTGAAGGTTAAAAAAAAAACAACTTCTGCTGGTTTAACAGTGAAAATCGCCAACAACCAGCCGCCATAATATACGAATCTTTATGTTTCTTTCTTCTCAGATTAATTTCGTGTTTTGTATGTTGCTATGCCTTCCTCTTGGTGTGCTGTTCCGGATTGTTTTCCACCCTAGACGTGTTTCTGCAAGCGCACGGCGACTTTTAGGACTTGTCTGGGGTTTGGCACTATCGTGGTTTTGTTTCAGCTGGTAAGAATCCCACCATCAATACAAACCCTGCTGCTCACTTGCTCACATTCAAATTTCAAGTCACGCCACAATGTTTATTTTACAAAAATGATCAGCTCGTGCGATCTCATCTTGCACATTTTACAAGACTTTCCTTCTTTTGCTTCGTCTTTACCATAATTTCTTTTGAAAAAATAAAAATTTAATCGGGTATCAGTTGGTAAGAAGGAAAATGATAATGATGTAATTTATGCATAGTTGACGAACATGCACACATTTGAATAATTGTTAACATTTCTCAATAACAGGTTTTGCTTGCGATATCATTTATTAGCTGTTGATGAAATTCTTTCATTTACTTGATTACAAAAAACCCAATGATTATATTTTAATGTCAACAATAGCATAGCGATGCAGTGTGGTTAAAATTGAAACGAATAACGTTTTAAAAACCAAAAGTTTGATGATGTAATAGAACATGCTACGAAAATTAATGCTGTAAATACGACAGAGATATTGTTATAACATTGCATTTTAACTTGTTATTTGGACAGTTGGTAAGACCTGTCAATGAAACCGCTTTCCTATTAGCATTTCTCGCCTTATGAGAAAAGCTTTTCAAATAAAGCAGTTAGATAATAGGGTGACTTCGTGCAACTCGTTTCTTATATGCTAATGAGACGTGGACAGGTATTACTACTAGTAACTAGTGTAGCTAAATGTCGTGGGTTGTGGTGCGGGTCGAGGTTAAATTTCGTGGGTAAAAATTAAAAAAAAAAGAAGAAGAAAGAAGAAAGAGAGATAGAGAGAACACAGAATTACAGCCAAGATAAGACTCGTGTTTATGAAATATTTCAAAAACTCATTAATAATTCATAAGCCCATTAACCT